CTCCTCTCTCTCGCTCCCATTGTCGCTCGCATACCTTTCCCCCCAATTCTCGGAATTCTCGAGTATTTAGGGATTAGCGTGTATTTCTACTCTCCCCAAATGTTTATTTCGGCCTATTTGAGGTATTTATCGGTGATATTAATTTCTTCGAATCTTTTTGTTAGATTAGACTAATTCCTATCAGAGTACGGAATTAATATTATGATTATTATTATCAATATTGTTAGTTATTAATTGTAGATTTTTTTCCTTTTTTTTGTATTTTTTTTGAGAGAATTGAAATGTCTTTCTTTGAAAAATTGGTGATTCTCATATTTCAATAGTGAAACACGTAAGAACGATGTTGATTTCTTTTCCTTTTTTTTTGTAGTTTTGGCCACCCAATACCCGTCTCCACCTGAAATCCACCCCTCTCTCCACAACCTAGCACACTGAGCGAACCCAGGACCGTTACCTTTCCCCAGAAATCTAGTTTTCTCCCTTTTTATGTAAATTTTCGAGGTTTTGGAATCAATTAGAATTGGTTTTGTAGAATCATCCGGTTTGGTAATTCCGGCTAAAGATTACCTGGCGCCTATAGATTTTTGTATTTTTGAGTTTGACTAGATGAAGGGGAAGAAGGGTGAAGGTAATAGGCATTTTTAACCCCCATACGAAAATGTCACGTTACAAGGGTTTCCATCAATGAGAGGGTACTCATTGACGGAAACAACAACATTTAACGTTTTGCGATGCCGTGAGAGGGTAAAATGATTTCGGATATTTTTCGGAATCGGTTTCCAATCAATAACTGCGCATTATTTGAAATTACAATGCTCCTTTATATCAAATTATTCATTATTTCATGTAATTATACAGTCCTGCTTAGGAATCTGCCCGGCAATTCAGACGAGGCTCGGTTAACGCACTCGGAACACCTGAACCTCAGGTTCGCGTTACACCCATGTTCAAGTCGTGCATCGCCCCTCCGTATAGGCTATACGCCTATACGCATGGCGCCCTACACAACAGCACTAGCCTGTATTCAAAGTTGAGAAGTGGCTCAACGCTCAGAACTTTTCTCGCGGTCAACCGTGTCAACAACTGCTGTTTAAATACTTGTTGTTGAACAAGTTCATTATAAAAACTTTACACTTTCATCAAGACTTTAGTCAAATTTTTATTGCAACTCTATAAGCATTCTATTGAAATTTTAGCCAATGTTTTGTGCGCATTCAATCGGAAATTAGATAAATGAAGTCAATAGACCTTGATTTTCTTGTAGGAATTTTCTCATGATTTTTTTCTATAAGAATGTTCAGGCATGAGTTTATGAAGTTCTTTTCCACTCGTTTCGTGTAATGCAAAATACGAGAAAATGCAGCAAAAAACAACTTAGAAAATGATGAGTTGAATAGAAAAAATTTCCAGACAAAAATTCAGACAGAAAAGTCCCATCTTTTTTTTTCTTTTCTTCCGCACTTTTTTCAGTACTATAAGGGCAAAAAACGACTGTAGAATTCCACCGAAAATGTTCTAATATATTCATAGTTTTCCAATACAGTTTCAATTACAAAGACTGTGAGAAAGTTTTTCTAATTTTTCATTTTTTAGTCAAAACCTCACTGTACCTCTCTGAAATAGTAATTTCATATTCAAAAATGGCCGCTAAAATCTAGGGAACGTGACTAAGTGTCTAGGGACCCGAATCGTAACTAGTTCTCTACACAAGATTCCCAACTCGATGGGCCTCTACTCAATGCGCATGGTTGCTGCCTGTAGTTCGAAATTCGTCCGTAGGGGCTACGATGTCCTCTAGAAGTGGGGTTAACATTTTGCACTCTGTTCTGTCGATTGATTGTCATTCATGATTAACCTTGCCTTGAGGCAACACCCTTTTTTGAGTTCGTCTTCAGGGGATGGAAACTCAGCCTTCCCCCTCCACTTTTATTTGGCAAACGGGTTTTCTCACGTTTGCCAACTGAATTTCATTTATTTTTCATGGTAATCCTGACCCCGCCGCCATATTGTTTGACGCTATTCCAGACGCCATATTGTTCCGTTGTTGTTTACCTCGAGTGACAATTTTTGCTACGTGAATAATTAACAATTATTAAAGGTGATTAATACAAAACTAAATAGTGAGTTTATAGAGGTGAAAGGACTGAGTGATTATTTTGAGGCGTTGTATCATTGAGTGTTATTACAATTTATCTTATGGAAATTTCTGAACTTTTTCACAAAAGTTTCTGGCTTGTTTTTCTTTAATGATAATGTGGATAGTTGATAGTTAATATTCTTACAATTTCTATTTTACATATATGATAGTAATATATAAATATATATATTGTTGTCTAGTATTACGAATTTCCTTGATAATGCGTGCTCCTCTGCACAACTGTTAGAAGTTAGGTTATCTTCAATTTCGATATTGCTAGCTCATCATTTTTCATTCTGTGCAGATGCCAAGAAATTCCAGGTGTGGTCCCATANTGATCCCGTATTGCGGACACTTTCACCATAAGAATAAACACTGTATTTTTGCGAGCTTCCCAAAACAATTGGATTGGTAATTAATTTGTTTAATAATGACAAAAATTTCCCGATTTCTGAAAAGACTCAGTTTTTATTTTAGCATTTTGTGTTTTGCTTTAGGTGTAAGGAGTGGGTACGGAGAATAGGAGTAAAAGAGTTAAGGAATTTATCAGTGGAAAGACTCAACAAAATACGTTATGTATGTGGATGTAATTTCACTGTTGATCAGTTTCGAAATCCATCCAAGAAGAAATTGAAGGATACAGCTGTACCATCTGTGTTTCATTCACAAATTGTTCCTCTTGACGATGAGCTTTTGCAAAATTTCCCATATCCTCAAACAGTCAAGAATACTCTCCTCCCCACAGAAGGTAGATTATGCACAAATTTTTATCCAGATGAGCTATTGTGGGCTAATGTTTCTTCACAGAAGATTCAAAATTCAAATAATTTCTTTTTCTTATCATTCTTGTGTGATGATTCATTTCCTGATTTTACAAATCCATCGATGGGTGTCACCAAATTAATAATTCGAGTAATCAAAACAAAACAAATTTCTAATTAAGGGAATGGTTTATGTTTTTATTTATTAAGGAGCTGGTAGCACGGGGTAGTGACTTCAACAAAATTTTAAGAAATGCAACTCAATTACAAGGGACACCAATAAAATTTTAGAAAAATTTAGAGAAATTCATTCTTGAGTTGAACATACTCCAGAAAGCAAATCGTGAACATTCTTTTCACGTTAGAATTATTGATACCTGCGTTATATATAATCTTATTTAAATTTTCTAGCCAAAAGAGTTTCCATACCTGTGGAAGATTCGAGGGCGCTCTATGCAGGAGAAGTACATCTCAATAAAATCAAAAAATCATCAGGTAACTATGATGAAACCTCTTGGCATGAGAAATTCCACTATTCAGCAGATAGAACTTGTTCTTTTTAATTATTCTGCAAGTGTTTATAGCTCATAGAACTATTGTTGTTGGACTATCAAACACACGTGATTGCATTGAAACTCACTAATTTTGTTTTTCTCTTCCCCATTAATTAATTCCAAACGTTCAAGAGAAACTCCAACACCATTACCAAAGGCAAAACTTGAAGTGTCAAGAGATGCACAAACAATTCAATGTACTCCTTGCAACCAGCCACCATCGAACGTTGAAATTAAACGTATTGATGACTCTGGTAATTTCTCGTCATTGAAACCTTTATTATACTCATAACCCTTGAGTGATTCTTCATCCACGTTATATGTACCTCATTTTGTGAGTCAAAATTGGTCTAATGTTGCGAAGATTAATTCAATCATGGATATTTTATCATCATTCTCCTATCATCCACAGTTTGCAGTCAATCCTTTTGTCCTCATTCGTTCTGTCTTTTAATTACAGAAAATATCCCTCCACTAATTAATATTGCGATTGTAAACGATGTGCCTGTCCACACATCTCTGGTATCATCAGGTGATATCCTCGTGGAGACAGCACCAGTCAGGGCCCTAGTCGATGATCAACCAAGATGCTCACATGACAATGCTTAAAAGCCAGCGGTATCGAAACGAGTCCTGAGTGACAATGTATCCTATGGTAGAAGAATTTTTTATTTTTTCATTTTTTTTATTACGATTTTTATTTAGCAATCTATTTTGTTTGATTGTTCAAAACGTGAATTCTTATGAGCATTATCCAAAGATTGTCGATTTTAAAATTTCACTAAGGCCCGATTGCACCAACCCCTCCAAGCCCTGTTAGGCCAATTTAACAGCCTGTGAGACTAACCGACTGTTAAAATTTATCTGTCCAGTAAATTTATTGGGTTGCACCAAAAATTTTACTGGTCCAGTATCTCCCCAGTACACCACACAGTAAATTTGAGGATATATTTAAGTACTTGTTCCAGTTTTATACAGATCACATTATACATTCAGGCATTTTCAACGAATTAATGTTTCAATCAAATTACGTGTGAAAATTTAAAAAAAAACATGGATATTCAGTTTCAGTTAAATTACATTTTGTAAATAATTATTATTCTTTCAAACATTGCCTTCTTGCAAATGAATAATTAAAATTGTTTAAACTTTCGGAAACCTTATTTTTAGGCATGAAATCGATTGGTGGTGAAATTCTGAATGTTAATAAATTTGTTAGGATTTCCAAAAAAAACATTGCAGGGTGGAACACTCCTATTTTAAATAAATTTTTCATGAAAAATGATCGTAATCTTCAAAAATCGTATCTTTTGAATTATTTTATCAATTTTTCACCACAAGTAGACTTTCTGATTTTATCTCAGATTCTTATGCCATAAATTATAAAATTATATAAAATTATAAAATTGCGGAATTAATCCTTTATGCAGTTTTAAGTAGTTACCTCCAAATTTTAATTCTGTCTGGAGAGTCAAGTTGACCTAACTCGTTGGGTTATCACAAAAAAAAAGAGATGTTGACTTAGCACATGAAGTATGTAAATTTCCCTAGGGGTAGAGTCACACGTTACGAGGGTCACTAAAGAGAGGGGCAAGCGTCACGAGGGTTACTAAGGGGAGGGTCAAACCTCACGAGGGTCACGAGGGTCATTAGAGGGAGAGGGTCTAACGTCACAAGGGTCACTAAGGGGAGAGTCAAACGTCACGAGGGTCATTAGGGGGGGGGNGGTCAAACGTCACGAGAGTCACTAGGGGGAGGGTCATTAGGGGGAGGGTCAAACGTCACAAAGGTCGCTAGGGGCAGGGTCAAATAAGGGTCAGGAGTTCATGGGGAAATCCATAGTAGCTTCTTCTACGTTTGGGGTACTTGAAAAAGTATTTTTCTTCATTTTTCCAGATTTTGTAGGTGGCCTTATATGAAGATATTATTTTTCTTTCTTTTTTCTTAGTTTTCTTTTCTCAATAATTCAAGTTTTATCCATCCGATTTTGATTTATTAAGCGTCAAAATTTTGTATTTTTACATTCTATAAGAATATTAAAATCGGATTGGTAGAACTTGAATTATTGAAAAAAGAAAAAAAAAGGCAAAACATCTTTAAATTTGGTCACCAAAAAATCTGGAAAAATAGAGAAAAATAGTTTTTCAAGTTTTCCAAACAGAAAAAGCCACGGATGGATTTCCTCATGAGGGAAAGAAGGTAAAGGTCAACTCCAGACCCTAATTTGACCCTCTCCCTAGTGACCCTAGTGACTTTTGACCCTCCCCCTAATGGCCCTCATGGCGTTTGACTCCCCCCCTAGTGACCCTCGTGACGTTTGACTCTCCCTCTAATGACCCTTGTGACGTTTGACCCTCCCTCTAGTGACCCTCGTGACGTTTGACTCTCCCTCTAGTGATCGCCGTGACCTTTGACCCTCGTGACCCTCGTGAGGTTTGACCCTCCCCTTAGTGACCCTCGTGACGTTTGATCCTCCCCCTAGTGACTCTCGTGACGTTTGACTCTCCCTCTATTGACCGCCGTGACCTTTGACCCTCGTGATCCTCGTGAGGTTTGACCCTCCCCTTAGTAACCCTCGTGACGCTTGACCCTGCGATTAGTGACCCTCGTAACGTCTGACTCTCCTCTTACTGACCCTCATAACGTTTGACCCTTAGTGAAATTTACATACTTCATGTGCTGAGTCAACATACCTCTTTTTTTTGTGATGACCCAACGAGTTAAGTCAACTTGACTCTCCACACAGAATTAAAATTTGGAGGTAACTACTTTAAACTGCATAAAGGATTAATTCCGCAATTTTATAATAATAGGGTAAAAAGTTCAAGAACAGTAGAATAAAGATTCGACGTCATTTGTACTAAATTTCCCACTATCGATGACAGCCGTTTTTTTGCTCCCCTGTAAAATTTCATTTTATGCACTTACCTCGTTTTACCACTTCACTACAGAATTAAACTTCAACGCACTACCAAAAAGCATCCTTTTTTTAGCAAATCGTTGATTTGATTTTCACTCTTCTCTTCGTAAGGTCCCATTTAATCTACTATGATTTGTGCCAATAAGGCGTTCTCATTTTCGGTTAATTCCATCCTTTTAATTGTCGATCTATATCAAATAAAAAGTATAAAAGACAAAAGTAGAGACAAGCAATAGTACATGAAATGTCCATAAATTGATAGGAGAAAATTGCAGAAAATCAAATGACATTATAGCATATAAGAGTTGGATAAATACAAAATTATCAATAATTTTTGTGAAGCAAAATAGTCAAGAACATTCAATTAACTTACTTACCAGTGTAATTATTGACTCTTATCACCCAGCTACCCTAGAATAACAGGAATGCCGATAAAACATCAATTGTCACGTGATCATGTCCATTGACTTACTCCAATGATAATATAGTGATCTTTTTTTATTTGAAAAAATAAACAAAATTATTCATTCCCTCAATTTTTAACATCAATTTATTTGACTGATTGTAATTGGAAATTTAATATATTTTACAGATTAGCATTGGGGGATCTAACGAAACAATTATATCCCCAGCTGTGATAAGAGCACCATCAACTATCACAATTCAGGTTAAGTCAAGAGGTCCAATTCAATCAACCCCAATGACAAGAGCCCTCGTAATCCCAGCCCCAAGTGGACACATCCGTCACAATATCAGAAATAGAATCTCGGAAGGTGAAAACAGCACATCAGCTCTATATCAGTGGACAACCTTCAGGGGATTGTCCAGTGCATCTATGGAAAATTGAACCCCTCGATGAAGAACGAGTTGTTGTCGTGATCGTGATGCCAGAGAAAATTTAAACCAAGTACAATAGACGTTCCACCAAATGTGAAGTTATGATTGGAAACGGTAAAATTGGAATTTGGAACAATCATTCTTCAAATCATTCGAAATCACTTCATACAATTTCTAATCACTTAATTCATCATTTAATTACAGATGGAAAAAAATTTATGGGGGCTGATGACCAACAGTGATATTTCACCCCTTAAGGCCCATATATCCTCTCACAACGTTTTTATCTCTGTATTAAGTAATATTAAATAATCAAATAAATGATAAAACAATTAAAAAATGATTAATGAACTGCATTTATTTATTAATAAACTGAAATATTCTCTTCCTACATATGATCCTCCTGATACCTCGCTTTTTCACACCATCCCCATAGAAATAAACAATTTTTTCAAGGATAACATTCAGCAGAATGATAATTGATTCTGCTTCCATTATTCGACTATATATAGAGAATAATGAATAAATTGTATGAAATTACATAAATTTCCACAAACGACAATTGAAATTCGTCGATTTTGGGCGTCCTCTACATAGGAATTATAGGAAAAAAAACCATAAAGATGTCATTAATACCAAAACGATAATCATTGCATGTAATTCAGATTTATTGAGGATTATTTCTAAAAACAGAAAGGTATAAGTATGACATTTCATTTGGTCATTTGCTTCTCATAATATCAACAAGACTGAGGAAAAATAATTGATATATTTCTCTTTTCCTCCGTCCATCAATTATATTTTGTTTGATTATTCTATCAATAATTTACTGCACGTCCAAAAAATTAGTCATTTTATTATTATTATGATTTCGTTAGGGATATAACTAAAAAGTAGAGCACCAACAGCGTTTAGCACCGAATTCTAGGATTTTTTGTCAGTAAGTTGGTGCCCCCTAGAGACCCGATAGCCAAATAACCAGGTATAGGCATTTACATTGAGTTTCCATCCCCTGTTCGTCTTTTTGTCTCAGATAAATGGTCAAGTGAATTAGTTTTAATTAAACCGTCATGGAGGAGCGGAAGTCTAACGTTGAAGAGGAAATACCCGTTGAACGTCGGCGAGGTCCTAAACGTCTTTATAATCAGGATAAAATCTTGCATTTATTAATGAAACACAAGGATGAAATCATCGATGAACGTACAGGTCAAGTCACACCACGAACATCTGGTAATCATGGGTGAAAATAGCTCAAAAACTGGAGCGGTTGGGACAAAATAAAAGTGCAGACTCGCTCTACACTCATGTTGCACGCAATGAAGACAATGTGCATGCTCACTTGTATCCCAGCTATCAAGAGTACCAAGAACCCGATGAAGTTCTAAACCTTCCAGAAGAACTCGTGAATTCCCAACCACGTAAAAAAGTTGAAGGCAGTAAAATTTTTCAAGAATCTACTGAATTCACTGTTGCCATTCCTCTATCGAAATTCTAAGCTTTGGTAGTTGAGCGTTCGAGGCAAACGTCCAGTGCGAGCAGAAATACGGAAAGAATTTGGTGAAAGATTAAAACACATGGTTCCCCATGTGCTCAGAATGCAAATGGTCAATCAACTTATGGATGACGATGACCCTGAGCCGCCACAACTCCCATCGTCACCAGTGTTACGGATGATTAAACACGAAATACTGGCAGCAAACCGTTTACATGCCGATCCTATCAAAGCTTTGCAGTTATTAAAGTCGCAAAAGATGGAGAATGAAATATTCACCCTTAGATCAGACCCTTTCTATGTCAATTATGTCACTCAATTGCAACGAAACGTTCATCGCCGGGTAGCTAGTGGAAGCCATTTATTTCTCAAGATTGATACTTCATCGGGAGTAACTCGTACGTTCCGAAAAGTGGACACACGTTACACTGGACCAATCCATCTTTTTTCGGCAGTGACTCGAACACCAAGTGGGCCTTAGGGCAAATGTCTTAGGGCATTGCCTTAGGGCAAATGTTAACAGAATCTCAGAGTGCTGTGACTATTGATGAGTGGTTAAGCGAGTGGCTCGAAACATCAAAATTACCATTTCCTAAAAAAGTTACCACGGATGAGGGGTTGGGACTGCTTGTTGGGTGTGTTCGGGCCTTCACTGGTCATAAGACCGTCAATAGCTATGCCAATGCTCTTTTTACCATCTGTAATACAGACCCACTTCCACCCTGCTATATTAGGATTGATGTAGCACACTTTCTGAAAACTTATGTAGATCTGTTCCGATAAATCTGTGGCTAAGTATTACAAAGCAGGTATTGGACAATTAATAATAGCGCGGAGCAAAAGCGATGGTGAGATTATTATTAGGAATCTCCTCATTATCTCACAGAGCCCGACGTGTGGTTTGACGGAGGAGGAGAACCCTTCATTGTACTATGAAGCAAGAGAAAAAATGGAAAACATTTTCACTGAGAATCAAATCGAAAGCTCGGATCTTCCATTAAACAAAAACAATATAAATTCTGAGGATCTAACGGCGTCAAATATATGATTCAGGCATGTTCAGCCTAGTTTATGGACAGATTGGGGCCTGAAAATTAACACTGCAGTTTTTGAAGAGATTGAACTTACACCAGGAATGACTAGGAATGAGCTCTATTGCCTAGATTTCGCCAGAAAGCTTCTCAAAGATATGAAATGGCTACCGTTATGGAGTTGCATTGTTCAAAATCTGTTTGGATTTGGCAGAATTCCAGCCTCAACTGCTGAAGTTGAGAGCAATTTTAATACAATTAAAACATTCCTTCTAGCTCAAGTGAAATCTCCAAGACCCGACTATTTCGTTGCTCTTCATAAAGATTATCTAGATGCAGTGTCTAAGATTGCAACTCATAAGATGGATGAGTACATGAAAGGACGACACAACAACGGCGAAATTTTGGATGGTCATTCCAAAGTACCAGAGTCAAATTACGTGCAACAAGGAGAGAAGATTGATGACTTCATGCATAATGACATAGGATTCATTGCTGAAGAGCCAAAATATCACAGTTCTCCAATATTCCCAGAAAAAACTGCTAATGTAAATGGCGAAGAGTGTACAATATGTGCAGCAGGAAATTTGCCAAGTGGAATGCACAAATGTCACTTAGGATTCATTCTAAACATCACCAAGTTACAGTCACGTGTTTAATACCGACGTGATTGATTCCTTCAAACTCACTTAGTACCTTGCTTTGCTTAGTTTTGTATTGCAACTGAGGACGTTATTAGAAATTCACTATCCTTTCGAAATGTTTATTCCAATTCCACTTCATAATAGAACTGAGTGTAATCGAATACTATACGTCTTAATTTACTTTTATGTAATCATTGTACTTAGTAGTTGTTTATGCCAAGAACTATCGATGAGAATATCACAAGTCTCTTAGAATATTGAAAATGGTGACTAGGGGGAAAAATCATCCAACTGTGAATGAAATACCTCAGAAACTATGTCTGAATTTTCCACTGAAAAATTGTCGATTGATTTACTTAGTTAGAGAATAATCATGATGTGTTGACGCAAAAACATCCACCTGTATATTTTTCATGTATTGAAATTTCGTATTGGAAAAATGAACCGAATCGAGATGAAATATTGATCGTAATAGAAAGAAATGATACAGTTATTAAATTCAAATGCTACTTAAATTGTTTGAATATTTTTTTTTTAAATTAGTATTGTGCATCGTCATGACGATACTTTATTAACTCTTCATTTTATAGACATGCGCTCATCCTGTCCACGTCATACCACCGTGTTCTATTTCAATTGGCGATGAAGAAGGTTGTGGAGAGAAACGTCTATGCAGTGCTTGCCATAGAAGGGAGACAGCAACAACGCGATTGACCTCCAACGATCAAGAGTAAGATGTTTTACAAGATTCTGGGAAGATAAAAGGGAAGAAACCTTGCTCATACTTGAAAGAGACTTATCCACCAATTTTTTTCACTCCGAAGAGAACATTGGATACAATCCCAGTATTGAAAGCGGGGAATGATCCATCATTGCGAGCCTTTCGTATAAAAGAAAAGCGCATTAGCTTGATAAATACGGATATGTTCGATGCTTTGTTCCACGTGATGCTAACAATGGTTTTCGACTTGCCTGATTTGTTTCGATACCTGGAGAAAAATGAAGAGAATAGTGCCTTTTTGAGAATGATTCTCCACGTTTATAAGTCAAAAGGAATTATTCAAAGTACATACACGAAGAGCTATCATGTTTAGCTCCATCTTTTTTCGATGAAACTCGTGGTCACCCAGAAGTGAATTGTTTCACCATGGACTCTAGATCTGATGCTGGAGAACTTTGTGAGAAATTAATGGAAAATCTGTCTCTCCTTGAAAGAATTTTAGTTTGCGATAGGAATTGTTCACAAATTACAGAGCCATTGTTTGTATTGAGAATATCTCTCGATAATCTGATACGAGTTGACTCTGATTGTTTATCCCTAGTAGATAGTAAACCAGCAGAGCTCATCAAGTGCACATCGCAATCATGCTCGAGAGAAGTCATCTCTACAATAAGCATCAAAGCTCCATTGGTTTTCGTTGAAATTATTCTTGATCGAGAAGAACAGCAGAAGATAAAGCTAAATGTGTTAGACTCCCGAGCGGTTGGGTTCGGTAATTTGGAAGATTAAGACACTCGCGAACGAATACTATAATAATATTCTTTATTTAATTTCTTACTTTTTAGATACCATTCAAGTGTTCAGACTGATACGGAAGGTATCAGGTGAACCGCAATAGGAATCGAGTTACTGGCCTCGAGACAATGGTCTCTCGAGTATTTATTTGATCGAGAGCCCATGACGTCGTGGTCATTACCTCATATCTGCATGGTGTAATGATAACACCATGCGAATGAGCCCAGTGGAAACTGCTGATGCGAGTTCTACTGGCTTACTTTTAATTGCGAATATACGTGATACATGATTGCACGTATATTCCCAATTGTTTAGTAATTGCTTAATATTATATTTGTATTTCACAATGTGTGCCACTTATATTGGCATATTGTGAAATAAGTTGGATAATTATGCTCCACTTTTGGGGCATAACATCCCTCCCTTCTAGGGGTAAGAAAATTATCAGTTGATAATTTTCTCCTCCAAGTCTACATGATTGAGATATTATTACTGGTACGATACATTTCATTTTTACAATTTTCTTTTAACCTATTCGATGCCCTAGTCGGCCCATGCATTACCAGAAGTTCACTCGTTGTCTCCACGTATGAGTGAGACTCGTTCGAT